CTGATTTTGCAACTATGGTCTGTTTAGATAAGAGCATTGTACTGTACAATGAATATTTATTTATTAGGCTTTATGAAGGTGGAGACTTTGTTATCTAAACTGTATACATCAGCCAGATGCCTAGCAAAATGTCTGCACACAATTAGGCACTTGTTCAGTTGAATTTGAGAGCTATAAATGAGAGTGTTTGTGGGTCTCTTAGAAACTTAAAGCTGAGAGAAGGGTCCTTACAGATCATTTAGTTTAGACCAACCCACTCTTACCATAAATGGTCTCCCATTCTTTCATTCTGACTGGTCCATGCTGATTGAAATGAGAGGCAGAGGTAATAACAAGGCCAAATTGTTGGAGTATATTTAACCAGGTATATCTAAAATGCAGGCTGCTTAGTTCAGTTTGGCTCAAGTTACTAGTAACTTTCCTGTTGTCACTACCAACCCAAAACGATATTTCCTAAATCAGCCAAGATCTCCTCTTCAAAATGACCTCTGGGAAGGAAGCTGGGCGAATCCCCACGATATTCTGGTACCAGGCAGAGTTTCCAGGGAAGGGGGTGTTTTACCCTTCAGTCCCTCCCTCCTGGAAAGGTGCACAGATTACTATCTCCTTTGGCTTCGATCATCCTTTTCATTTCATGGGGGTATGCCCCTTAGATGAGTCTAGATATGGTACCTTGGGCAAGTCATTTCTCCTAAACCTCGTTGTAACGTTAGTTCCTCTCAGCTATCCTTTTTATAGTTTCCAGTGGGGCTCTGTCAGTGGAAAGAATGATGAATGAGAACACAGAGGAGAAATGGAGAAAAAGAAAAGGAATTAGACCTTGGAAAAGAGGGATGAAATTACAACTGTACTCCTGACCTGTGGGAGGTATAGAGTTGGGTTGGGCATCTGCCATATTATCATTCCACTTGTTCCTCTAAATGAAAACTCCTACAGGGAGGGGGGGGTCCTTACTCCCAGCCCCTCTCTCCCCAATAAATCTAACAACCCAAACCAACAAAATAAAGCCCACCCTTAATATTAAAGCAAAGTGGTAGATTTAGAAGACCAACCTTTGGAATGAGAATTCTGTGGGATAATAGGATCAGGATTTAGAGTTGGAAGAAACCTCAAAGGCTATCTAGTCCAACCGCTTTATATTATAATTGAGAAAACTGGAGTCCAGGGAGGTTAAGGAATTTGCTCAAGGGCACCCAAGTAGAGAGTGTCTGAGGTCAACCAGGATCTCTGATTCCAAAGCCAATCCCCTCTCCCCTTCCCTTTCTTCCCTTCCCCTCCCTTTTCTCCTCTTTCTCTCTCTTTCTTTCCTCCAGGCTTCCCTCCCCCTTTCTAATTAGGAAAGAAATTAAAGAAATGTGGGATGGAAGAAATTCAAGCCTCCACTGACTAATACAATACCTCAGGACTTTATTCCGTTGAAACTATCTCTTTCTGCTATGGCTCTTTTTGGTGTGGAGGTGACCCCAGGGTTTGGCAGTCTGTGCTCCTAGAACATAAGTTCTGGTGGAGTTGAATAATCTTGGACAGGCTTCAAGTACAGCCCCAGCTAAACTCTGCATGATGCTATCACCAGCCTAGAGAAGTAGGAAGAGGCTTAATACCAAAAATTTGGCCACCAGGTGAAGGATTCTCTGGCCGTGGCAACTTACGAATTAGACATGGTGGACAATCAGATGAATGCTTTGCGTCTTTCTCCCCCTTCCCACATCAGGAGGAGCTACCTCTGGGGAAATCTAGCTATGTGACTTTGGGCAAATCTTTCACCTAACCCTGGTATAACATTTATTCATGTTTGATAAATATATGTTCAATGAGCGAATTAGGGATTCACTTGCCACTGTCTCTGCTCTTCCTCCCTCCCCCAGGTCAATCATGCTTAAATTTGTCTAAATACAATGCAGTCTCTCTTTTTTTTAAACATCTTCTCACTGAGGTCTAGTTGGAAGTCTTGGTCATAGGAGACATTAAGCCTCAATTGCTCTGGGCCACATTCCAGGCTAGGCAAGCGAATTCATCTTCCCAGTGTTCCAGGGCAGGCTTACTTGTACTCTGCCTGTATGCCCTGTTTCCTGTCTGGGCAACTGTGGCCCTTTTCTAGATGGTGGTATTCCAGCCAAGAATCAGGAAAAAGAGGCCCATTTATATGTTTTGCATATTAAAGTGATGAATCTGTAGGAGAATAGGATAGACTATTAAAAAGTGAATGGTGTTTTAGGATGAGACACATCTATTAAAATCATTATGACTCTATCAGCTGAAGTAGTACCCGGCCCCCAACTCCAAAGATGGGAAGAGTGAAAAAGTGAAATTTGGTAACTACCTCGTAAAGACAGGGTATTTAAGTGAATTACCCAGTAGGCTATTTCCTATTGTTCTCATTCTGCTTGTTTCTCACCATCACTTTTGCTTCTAGCAAGCACTTTGCTTTTTGAAGCCGTGAAGCAGGATAGGCCATGATCACTTCTATGATTCATCAGTTGTTAAGGAATTTTACTGAAAAAAAAGTCATTGCTAAGAAATTGAAGTAGTTGGCTTTCTTCAAGGTTGGAAAAGATCTCACACCTCTGTGAAGTGCTGTTCACCAGCTTGGGAAAATGTCCTCATTTGTAGAGAGAGGTGAGCATTTTGCCCCTGTCAGTTGATCTCTGAGGTACCTTCTGGCTCTGGATCTTTGATTTAAAGTGCTAAGTTACAGAGACATCAAATAAAATGCCCTCAGTCACGCAGCAAGTCATTGTGAGAATGACAGGACACTGAAAAATTCTGAGTGGCAATGTTTGAGTAAAATACCTTTGAAACATACTGTATCTTAATAGTTGACATTTATATATCCCATTAAGATTAACAAAGTTAAAAAATAAAATCATTTTGGTTTATTTAATTGTTAAAATAAACCAGTGAAATTATTGTTGCCCCCATTTTTACAGATGGAGAAACTATGACTTAGAGAGGCTAAGCAAGTACCTAAGGTCATGAGGCTAGTAAATGGTGCAGTCAGGACTTTTGCCCAAGATAATGGCATCATAGGTTTAGAGCTAAGAGGTATTGTAGAGGGTAATCAGTCCAGCTAGGTGGCACAGTGGATAGAGTACCTGACCTGGAGTCAGGAAGACCTGAGTTCAAATCCTGCCTTAGATATTTACTAGCTGTGTGACCCTGGGCAAGTCACCTAACTGCTCTCTAGATCAATTTCTGGGCAGGTAGGCTGTTCAGTGGACATAGTGACAGAACTGAAGTCAGGAAGACATCTTCACGAGTTCAAATCTGGCCTCAGACACTTACTAGCTGTGTGACTCTGGGCAGGTCACTTAGCCCTGTTTGCCTTAGTTTCCTCATCTGTAAAATGAGCTGGAGAAGGAAATTGGCAAACCACTACAAGAAAACCCCAAATGGGGTCATGAAGAATCAGATACATATGAAATGATGGAACAACAGCAACAGCAAAGCTCAATTTCCCCATCTGTAATAGCACCTACCTCCCAAAGCTGTATTTGCAATATTTGTAAAAGTGCCTGGCACATAGTAGGCGTTATATAAATATGGAATCTTTCCTTTCCCTTTCTGACTCCAAGTCCAGTGCTCTATGCATAGTACTGCCTAGATCATCTTCTAGACTCTAAAACATAGAGTTACACGTTACTGTATTCATGAAGTTTAAAAAAAAACACCAGAATGGTTTTGCAGCCTTTTGGTAGCCTTTGCAGTATGCCAAATAGCCTAGCATCTGCCCCGTCAAGTTTCTAGAACACAAGCTATTTTCAACTCAGCTCTCATTGGAGTTAAATTATTTGTTCCTCTTGGGTAATCATGTTTGCTGTCTCCTAATACCTTATTTACACAGCAACCTGAAAGGGCTATGACAGTCATTTTGCAAAGAATGAGAAAAATGAAGAAAGGCTGAGATTGGATGGAGGGGGCAGGGCATTGGTTCCTATATGAACTTTCTATAACGCATTATAAAATTATGTATAAAAGGTTATCATATGCTTCCTGCCATTACAGTCAAGGATTAGAGAGAACTGGTTTATTTTCAAGATAATGAAATCGTCCCTATAAGGAATAATTTGCTTTAGATGATATCATGAGTCCATTTCCAGGGAAAAATCCAAGGATGATACATTGGAAAAAAACCAAACCCAAAACAAGAACAACTGTTACTAATAGATGAAAAGGAGTTTGCTTCTACATTTTCACATTTTTACACTCCTGCTCAGTTTAACAATTTTGACTAAAGGCCTACCTACTTTTTGCAAGACGTGATTCCAGGCATGTATTCAGTCATGGACCCCTAGGAAGAATTCAGAAAAAGGTAATTGGCGTGAAGATCACTCACCATGGTCAGCTCTCTTTTTCCTTCCTTGTAACTGTTGTCAGAAGGGCAAAGTTTCTTTATTGTATTTGGATTTCTGTCTTTATGCTTTTCCTTTGCCTTCCTTGACAATGCACCTGTATTTCTGGATAAAGACTGAATATTCAGCTTGTCTTGAATTTTAACTATTCTCATGTCTTACTCACTATCATTCAGCTCTTGATACTACAGTTACAGCACAGACCAGCTATATGGGTGATGTTTTTTATTATACTTATTTTCCGCAGGTGTTTCCTTGTTCAAATTGAGCTCAAAGGCACAGGTTGTTCAAATGTCAAGATATTTTTGTGGGTGTCTTATGCTTATCATTAAATAAAATCCAAAGATGAGAATATGTGGAAAATCAGGGAAATAGCTTTATAAAGTTTTGATATAGGAGGATGCATAAAAATAAAGAATATTTTATATACAGCTGTGTATTTTTTTCCCTAGATTCCCTGACTTCCCATTCTGCTACCCAGACAAGCTGCTAGCAACCGATCTGAGGCTTTAATTGCATAACTGGCAAGCCAGTTTTTAATCCCAAAGTTTGAAAGCTATCCCAAGAAAGACATCTGTGCTTTGTTTTAGGCACATCTTGATTTTTGTATTTATAAACAAATTTTATTTTCTTTCCCTTCTTTTTTTTCAGTGGCTGTTCCTGCGGCAGCACCGGCTTGTCAGCCCAAGAGTGTCACTAACGGGCACTACACAGCCCCACGCCTCTCGATTTCCTCTCGAGCCACAGTGGTTGCCAGCATGGAAAATACCTCCCAGGGCTTACAGACCGTCATGAAGTGGAAAACAGTCGTGGCAATCTTTGTAGTTGTGGTGGTCTATCTGGTCACAGGAGGTCTTGTCTTCCGGGCACTAGAACAACCCTTCGAGAGCAGCCAGAAGAATACAATTGCCTTGGAGAAGGCAGAATTTCTTCAGGATCACAAATGTGTGGGCCCGCAGGAATTAGATACACTGATTCAGGTGAGCTCTGAAGGAGTCAACAGAATCTTGTTTGTCAGCTATAAAGCAACTCTACTGAAGGAAAGGGGCCTTTCCTGTCAGCTTCCTGGATAATTAAGCTTTGCATTTTATGGACTAATAGTTTTTGGGGAATGGAAGATCTGTGAATCTGGCAGGATTTGATATTAAAGATGTCTATGGTTGGTACTATCTTCCTAAGCCAAATCTGGAAACATCAGACAACTCTACTGTGCATCATTAGGGGGTGGCTATGATAAGCAAATAGTGTGTATTATTCAAGATTATCTTAGGTTTTCAATTCAACAAATAGTTTTTGAATACTTGTTCTGTGCTTGGGACTAGGCTAGTATGTTGTTTTAGAGGCCGAAGGAAGGGAGATTGCCAAGAAAAAGCGGAGTTTTTAAAATTTAGGAAAGATTAAGAGAGAAAAAGACTGAGAATTGGATTTGGTTGCATTAGTGATGTCTGAGAAAGCAATTCCATTGGAGTGGTGGGGACAAGAACCAAGATTCATGGTGTCAAAGAAGGAATGAGTAGTGAGGGAAATGGAGGCAGTGGGTATAAGCTACTCTTGGAAAAGTCTTGGAAAATAAAGAGAAAATTAGAAGGGCAGCTAAATGACGACAACTGAATAAAATGGAGGTTATTTTGAAAATGTGGGAGAATCATGCATGTTGGAAGGAAGAGAAATCAGAGCCTCTCTTTGTACAGCATTTGCAGTTGAGGAGGGAATAATTGAGTGACCAAGGTCCTAGAGGAAGTGGGGAAGGATGTGCTCAAATTCATATGTGCAGTAGTTTACTTTGACAAGGATATAGATGGATATCTCTGAGGCTAAATTTTGACTTCTGGCCCTACATGGCAATATACTACCTAGAAAAGCACAGAACACACACATTTTCTCTCATGGGGCTCCACCTCCTTCCTCCATAATTTTTTTTCCTCTGTGATTTTCTTCCTCCTGAGGCTCCTTACCTTCAGACCCTTTGTTTCCAAGATGCAGTACTGTTATAACAGGAAGAACTGGAGTCACTCAGAAGTTGGTCAATGGTCAAAAGATAGAGACTTTTCTTCCTGATGGGAGATGCTTTGTTCAGGAGACTACCCTCTCTTTTAATTTATTTTTGTTCTTACTCAGTAAGAATCATGAGATCACGTGTGGAGATCACTTTACAACACTTACATGCTACATAAATTTAACTCTCCTGTCCTTAACTATTCATTTATTCTAGTTTTTGATATTTTCACTTTCCAAGCAAATTTTGTGGCCGTTCTTGTCTTTTACGGTTGGTCTATACCTTTATGGCCATATCCATAATGTCTCAGATCTCATCCACCTTTCTGAAGCATCATAACTGACTCCTAATCCATTTCACACATGAACTGTTTCTTGGTCATGACGCACATATCTTGTACTTGTGCTTTTGATTTTTTGAACCCAAGTGTAGAAGTTTACATTTAGCCCTACTAAGTTTTGCTGTATCAGGTTCAGATAATTATTATAGATTGTTTTGATTTTTTTGGGGTCCTAGTACTGTCATCCATGATGCTATCAGTTGCTTCAAACTTTGTGTTACCCACCATTTTGATAAATACAACACCTATTCTTTTCCTGAAGTTCTAATTTTGAATAGAAGAGGGTCAAGAATAGAGATGGAGTAGTATGTGCCTCCAGAACCCATCCTATAGAGCCATGGTTCTTAACCTGGGGTCCATGAACTTGTTTTACTTAATATTCTGGTAACTGTATTTCAATATAATTGGATTCCATTGTAATCTTGTGTATATCTTATGCATTTAAAAACAGTGATCTGAGAAGGGGTCAGTAGGCTTCACCAGATAGCCAGTGAAGTCCACGACATAAAAAAGGATTAAGGGCCCCTGCAATAGGGGCACTTATGCTGTCAGAACTTAATTTCTCATCTTGACACTTTTATTTACTTATTTCTAGCTGAGGGCAGTTGGGTCTAAGTGACTTGCCCAGAGTCACACAGCTAGTGAGTGTTATAGCTGGTGCTCTATCCACTGTGCCACCTAGCTGCCCCTATCCTGACCCTCTTCAACTGATGTGATGGGGTTGTTGGTAAACTTCTCCAGAAGCAAATCATTCTGCTCCAGCTGCTTCCAATCTCAGAGCAGGGAGCAGAGGTAAAACTCCAGGGATGTCAAATAGAAAGTCTTCACAGAGTGCAGTTTTCCCTGAGGTTGGCCCCACACTGACGGGGTTGTTTGAGAACTAAAACAGCATTTTAATAACAAGGACTACAGAGGCAGAAAAATGCATTTCAGGAAAATGCTTTACTGAACAAATAAATCATTTTACCAGGAAGCTCAGCTGGGATGTTTGGCACAAAATAGAAGTGAATTGCTTGTCGTCTTTGGAAAAACCCATAGCTGGATGGAAAGTTGTGCTACTGAAATTGGATAATAGTATAGACCTGGAAGGTCCATTAGAGATTGTCTCATCCTACCCTTCTCCTCTACTTTACGGGTGAGGAAACTGAAGCCAGTAGAAGTTAAGTGATTTTTGAATTAATAAAAATAATGATGATAATGAGAGTTGGCATTTTATGTTGTACTTTAAGCTTTGCAAAATGTTTATATGCATTATCTCATTTGAACCCAAGGTCACACAGCTAAGCAGAACTGGAATTAGGACCCAGGCCCTTTCATTCACAGACAGCTAGGTTGCACAGTGGTTAGAGTTTCAGGCCTAATGTCAGGATCTGGTCTCAGACACTTAGTAGTTGTGTGGCTCTAGGCAAGTCACTTTGTCTCTATTTGCCTCAGTTTTCTCAACTGTAAAAGAAAATGGAGATAATAATAGCATCTACTTTCTAGGCTGTGGTGGGGATCAAATGAGAAAATATTTGTAAAGTGCTTAGCACAGTGCCTGGCATATAGTAGACCCCACAGATGTTTGTTCTCTTTCTTTCCCCAATCCAGTGTTCTTTAATTTTTTGTCGGGAAATTCTAAGGAATATGAAAAGAATTGTGAAGATCCTTAAAGAGACTGAAGAATAATAGCTGCATAGGAAGGCCAAAAGAAATAATATGCTGAAGGGAAAGCTTGCAGGAGGGACAGCCCAACATAAGGCTTCAAGTACATGAAGATCACCCTGTAGACATTGGCATTTGTCAAATAAACAACAAACCATAAATTCATCTCAGAATAAGAGGAAATGGACCTCAGCTGTAGTTTAAGGAGTTCAGATTAGAAGCAAGGATACATTTTCCAAAAGTGATTCCTTTTACTGGAAGGAGTCCAGGCTTTGGAATCTCCTCTGGAGATAGGCTAGGAGGATCTGACTGAGGGCATATTTGGAGGCAGAGGGATGGACTAGATTTGTCGTTCAGTTGATTCAGTCATGTCTGATTCTTTGTGACCCCATTTGGGGTTTTCTTGGGAAAGGTACTGGAGTGGTTTGTAATTTCCTTCTTCACCTCATTTTACAGGTGGGGAAACTAAGGCAAACAGAATTAAGTGACTTGCCCAGGGTCACACAGCTAGTAAGTGACTGAGACCAGAATTGTACTCATGAAGATGAATCTTCCTGACTCCAGTTCTGGCACTTCTATCCACCTAACCACCTAGCTATCTCATAGATTGATCAGAAGTGTCAAACACATAGCCAGCAACACTCCCCAGTACAACCTGACCCAGATTAAAATTTAATTGGGAAACATTTAATAAAATAAATAATAATAGAACAGAACATAGGTAATATTAACATGTGGTTATCTAAGTCAGCATTCAGCCTGCAGTGATTTTTACACTTGGCTTAGTGGTCTTCATGTCTATTTGAGTTTAATATAACTGGACTAGACGACAGCTAACAATCCCTACTGGCCCTGTGGTCATGTATATTAAAACTCCACATACAGGGATATGAGAAAGAGCTGTCATTTACTCAAAGAAAACTCTTGTTGTGGGAGCCTTGTCTACCGACACAGAATATTTCATCTGTGATTTAGGAGCAAAGTCTTAGAGAATTTGCCTGAATCTCTTAGAAGTTAAATGACTTGCCCAGGGCCTTAACTCTAAATATGTATGTGTACATGTATATACATATATGTATACACAATCACATACAAGAACTATAACCCATCTTATAAGAAAAAACACATTTTAAAATACTTTTTGTGGAGTTTGAAATATCTTTGGGGATCTTTATTTGATTGACTTGCCCAAGGTCAAACATATATTATGGATCAGAGGCAGGTTTCAATTCAGGTCTTCCTGACTTTTTAGGCCCATCACTTGAAAATTCCACGTACTATCTGCCTGATATTGCACAATATTTGCAAATCTTACAATTTGTTTGGCTATCACTGACTATGGGAGGTTTCTTATATCTCTCATGACATGGCACCTTTCCTGGGGCCTACATTAGTTCTTAAAACTAATTACTTGCAATTGCATCTTTAACCTTAAAATGTATAGAAATGTGTCCCCCCCTTTGAATTAAACATGAGTTTATAACTACATTCCACAGTTATTTTTGAAAGAGAGAACTTTTTCTTTTAAAATCTAAGACCAATGTTCTAAATTTCTCTTTTATGAAAAACTAATTCATTGGGTGAACTTGTATATTTCTTCCCACTAATATAGGAGCCTTACCACTCTTCTGGTAGAGTGAGTTCTGCAGTAAATCAATAATCCTTTATTAAGCATTTACTGTGTGTAACCATTTTGGTCCTCAGTTTCCTTATCTGTAAAATGAGTTGGAATAGATGATCTCTTATGAGTCTGTGAGCTCCCTAAGCAGGTCTACCTCTTTAAATATTTCCAGATTTTTGGGAGGGAAAAAAGGAGAAATAAGTCCTTTTACCTCCTAACAGGCAGAAGGGACATTTCTTTATTCATTTTCCCTAGAGCCACAAAATAATTCCTTAGGATTTTTAGGGATTCTTTAGGGTCCCTTATCACTCTGATTCTAATTCTGAGAACTGTTTTCATTAATTTAGGTACTGTTAAAATGTATATTCAGGTGGTTTAA